GGAAACCCCAATAATTTGAAGTTTGTACCCCTTTTATTACTTATTTCATACATGTAGTACCGCATCTCTTGATAAATCTCAAGTATCCACAATTTCTGGCCTGTGAGTTTGCGCGTCACTCAAGTGGGCTTTCCTGAATACATCGCAATATTCTACAATTGATGACATCGAAATTTTACAGTTTTACTTGGATGAGTGCAGGGGTTGATCACCTGTGTTGGGCCTGTCGTCTTAAGTCCGGTAGGCCGCACCAACCATTCTGAATGTATAGGACTGAGGTAGTCTGGGATATGCAGTTCCTTGTTTTGGATCTCATCGCCGAAATATCAACCAGCGGTCTTAAATTTAGGCTGTTGAATCACAGAGCGACAGTTCAAGAACACTTTGTTTCGGATATCGACCATCTCGATACCGACCTCATGCTAACTTTCCAATACATATAATTCAGTGAATGAGTCCCACCGATGGATTGTGAAGAATCTTTGAACTGTAGGCATTTATACTCAGCTCACACAGACTACTACTGGGGGCTTCTTGTATGCTGTAGGTTGCAAGCTCCACTAAGTTCAAACTGTCAGGGAACGTGCCTTTCGATTAAAAGCAGAGAGTCCTTACTCTCACTGAGTACCTTTTTTGAGGAAGAGGGGTACCGGCTACTTGGAATAATGCGTGACCTATTTGTGCGTGTTTCTGGCTGTGCTCATTCAGGGTGACGCCTGGTCCAAAACGAAAATGCAGTTGATTATTCTTACCAGTGACTGTCTCACCTTTCGGAGGCTGCGCCACCCTCATAAACCTGCATGTTTTAAACAATCGCCCCATACTACCTTTGAAAGGAAGAAGGCCTTCGCTGGGGATTTATTCATTAGAAAATTACAACTGAACAATTACAGACTATGGAACAAGGAAGCAATACTCTCATATGCATCTTGTTTACAAAACTGAATATCCATCTTCTCCTTGAACGCGTCTTCCTAAACTTTCCCGGATATTCATTGACAGTTGCTCAAATCCAAGCAAATGCGACTCCACAAACTCCGTCATAGATCTCACTTTTCAAGGGACACAAAGCAGATTTATCAGAAAACATACTACTCGCATGCCCCCCAATCAGTAGTGTCACTGTTACACCTGTTCATGAGAAAAGAGGTTCGACCGAACATTTTCACAGTGGAACCTCGAGAAAGCCTTTGTGTGTTGCACGCTATGCGATAGAGTGCCAGTGTACCCTTGATCACAACCGGCTCCATTGGGTCTTCATAGTGATGAACCACGCCTTGGCAATCCTGTTCATGACTGCACACGTCAGCTTCCAAGCCTGTTGAGTTGTTCTCCTCTCCCTCCCAATCTGAAAGTTTAGTAAACATGCCATCGCTGTCGATCAATGAGTGAGTATCGATCACCAGCTTGAACACATCCATTGGATGCTACTCGGATGAAAACTGTCCCAGAGATATGCAACTCATAAATGAAAAGAACGTATTTTTGAACGTATTTCTTAGCTTCCTTCTGAAATGACTGAAGAACAGTTGCAAGCCAGAAAAGTGACGCAACCTAAGTTCTTCCACGTGCGTTGACAGTGGAAATCAAACCGGCTGAACATTCAGCAAAGCTCTATTTATGGTCACGTGATTTTGGAAGCAAGCGCGTAGAAAAAGGGGTCAGTGGTGAAAAATAAATTGATATTTCGTACTTCCACCCAACTGAATCCAGGGCTGGCTTCAAAGTGTACATCCGGTTGAAGAGCATCACGATCGACTGTCCAACTGACTATCCCTTTCAGGATAATGTGCAATTGAATGACTTATTCAGTTTGAATGACTGGAAGAC